ACTTTAACCAATCAAAGCCCACCTATGAATTTTGATAAATACCATCTGATTGCTTAACATGTTCATAATAGTTAGGGGTATAAACAGATCGAATTTGAATCCAATTAGAAAATTCAACACCCAAATTCGATTCAATATCCGACGGATATTAAAACTCAATGTCCAAATTCAAATTCGACTAAATATTCGACCATTTGATTCGATTCAAAATCAATCAATTATTTATTTTAGGTAATTAATAAATATATAAAATAAATATTTTATTTATATAAATATATAAATTATTTATATAATTTAATTATTATAAATATTTTATTTAATTTCCATATATAAGAGTTACATAATCGATTGTCGAATTTGCTCATATTTGAATTTGATTCAATTATGTTCGAATCTTGAATTCGAAATTGGAGACACCCTTAATGATAATGATTGATTGGTCACAAGTTTTTTTGGATATGATGTATGGTATCATAATCGAACCCAATAAGGGAAAATCAGTAATATTTCTTCAAATTTACAAGCACCTTCTTAGTTGTCTCACTCTTTCGGTTTTCTATCAACTAGAATTCATGTCTATACTCGAACATCTTAAAATTCACACTATAGAAAATTATATTATTTTAATATTCTGAATATGATCTTATTATATAAATATATTCATGAAAGCTACGAAAATCTACACAAAATAACATGGTTTTTAAAAACGAATTGGTGATCGAACTGGTCAAGGGTCCGGTTATCAGTTTGAACGGTTTGGCCGTTCGGGTTTGACAATAAAATAAAAAAATTAAAAAATTGGAAAACGGTCAAAATTGTTCGAACGATTAATCGGCCGGTTCAGTAATTTGCTGTCAAAATCAACGGTTTTGGGGAAAAAAGCGGTTTTGGAGGAAAATAGAACCGGTCAAGTGACTGGTTCCCGATTTTTCCGGTCCAGTCCGGTTTTGAAAACAGTGCAAAATAAGTTAGGTTTCTCCAATTATTTTAAAGATATTTTTCTTATGATATAGTAAGTAATATTTAGATATGGAAGAAATACTTCTTGGGATAAGACTAATTAAGAATTATTATTTAGTCAAGAAAGGGAAAAAACTTATGGCTCAATTTGGAAAGAATATAAATATAAATATATACAGTGTAAATACATACAAAATAATACAAAATACAAGATTTTGTACTCTGTATTTATACTCTTTCCAAATTTAGCTTATATTACATGTTCACACCATAATAAAAACATATTATAATTCTAACCAACATATAATACACTGAATTTATGACCACGTATTAAAGAAAACCTTTCTATACTGAATGAGGAGGACACATGCCCTAGGGGTTGGAGATACTCATAGGATTCTAATTGTCTACCTATAGCACTCTCTTTACTAGTATGAAAATAATTAAATAGCAAAAGAAAGAAAATTGTTCACGAGGTTGTAGTTTTGCCAAGGTTTTTTATAAATTTAGTGAAATTTCAGTCTTTGCTCAAGAAAGGAAAAAAGTGAAGAAAAAGATTTTATAACATTTATATGGAATTTAAATTTTGATCTAGATCAATATAAGCCAAAAGCTATTTCAATTTCATCAATATAAGAATTGTGAGGCAAAAGGTATACTGGAAGTTACCAAAGTTTGGATTGTGTGCAAGTGAAGGGACTAAAATTATTCTATTTTTTTCTTTTTTTTTCAAAATTTGAACTAGAAATCATAAAGTTTGTTGATTTTTTAATCAAATTCAGAATTTATGTGAAATTACTACGGAAGGTGTGATGAATCTCCATATATTAATATATGGTAAAAAAACCCAAAAAACTAATAAAGTCCATGAGGTGGATTGAACTCTAAATTTCCTACTTTATATTGGCAAGAGTTTCAACTTATCTTTTTTTTTGTGAAAATTATGATCTATCCTATCTCACAAATTTATATTTATTTTAGGGAAAATTCCTGATTACTACCCTGTACTTTGGGCTTAGTGTCACTTTGGTCCCAAAACTTTAAGACATGCCAATCCAATACTCGAACTTTTAAAACATGATAATTTAGTACCTGTCATTAGTAGTCTGTCAGTTATCTGTATCACGTGATGACATGTGCGATTTAAAACTTTTAAAATATCAAAATTACCCTTAAAAATATTACTCATAATCTTCTACCTTATGACCCAAATCAGATCTTGAAGAAAAACTGTTGGAGAGAGAGAGAGAGAGAGAGAGAAAAACTGTTGGAGAGAGAGAGAGAGAGAGGAGAATTCGTAACATAAGTTGTGTTTGGAAAGGGTTCAGTATTTGTACATTTGAAGATCAAAGCAAGCCCCACTTCCTTTTTTCTTTGTGAGTTTCAGGAATATCCCCATTCATAGGTCCGAGATCCACATCTATGAATTGAAAGGTCCGAATGATCAACTCTGCAATCAGTTGTTAGAATCAATAGGTGTTCAAATCGTTCATTTGAATAAATTGAAACCCTTCTTATTGGATGATCATGATACTTCCCAAAAATCGAAATTCTTGATCAATGGAGGAACAATATCACCATTTTTGTTCAATAAGATACCAAAGTGGATGATTGACTCATTCCATTTTTCATGATATTATGCATGGATCAAATATATCATGGCCAATTCCTTAGAAAAAATGGTGTCTTCCACAATGGAATCTGATAAGTGAGATTCCGTCTTGAAAGGCTGAAGCTTTGGTTTAAATGCTTTCACTCAACTGCTTTGTAAAAAGCATTAAAAGAAGTTTCCACAAAAAACCAAAAGCCCTTTTTTGGCTGAAGGGCAACAAATTTGGGTTTTTAGGATTTTTCATCAAACACTACTTATAAGCTATCTGGGTGGGGCTGAGTTTATTAAGCCAAATGCAACCATAAGAAGTCCCTGCCAAACAGTCACTTAGACTTTTTGCTTTGAGGCAGGGGACCCTTCTGTTGATGGATTTGAGGGGGGTCATTTCGTTTTTGTGGAAGCCGGTCATTACCATTCCCTTACAAAATTGTACCAAAAACGTACACCTTTGTTTCATCTTCTTGGGGAAGAACATGATGAATAGTGTTTTAGTTTTGAGAAGGGCATTTACATAGTTGATAAAGAAAATTAGATGATATTCTAAGGGCATTTATGTCTTTTCATATACCACTTAACGACTGATTAATGTCAGGTACTAGATTGGTACATTTTGAAAGTTCGGATACTGAATTATTACATTTTAAAGTTTAAGGACTAAAATGACACTAGGCCCAAAGTATAGGGTACTAATTAGAAACTTTCCCTTTATTTTATTTATATTATTTTGCAAAAACCCCCACCTATCACATACATACCCTCCTTGTATTATGTCAAATTCCCCCACTTAACAGTGACAAATTTGGGAGGTGGGGGTCTGCGGGAATCAATAATTTGCATTTTTTCTGGTTTACGTTTTCTTTCGTCACGTTTTTTTTAGTTTACATTGGGAGAATGAAATTTCATTAGAAAACTTAGAACTTAGACACAACTCCACGTGACCAATACTCGACACTGTTAACCTTCGTTTGTTAGGTAAAATTTACTTAGAGTTTGTTTGGTTTTCAGTTGGAATTGATAACAATTGGAATAAATTGAAATGAGATTTCACTCTCAAAAGAGAAGGAATGACTATTCTCTCAAATGGAGGAATGCCATTTTAATAAAAATAAGAATAGGATTCCAATTTCTCTTAACAAAACAGTTGGAATTAAAATAGCCCATTCCAATTCTAATACCAGGAATTCAAATCAGACCCCACAAAAGTGACCCCCGGGGATGTGCTGTAGGACGTTGTGGGGGGCAGTCTTGTGCGGGTGATTCGGTCTCCAACTTTCCGGACCCCTATTCCTCCGAACCAACGGCCCCTAATAATGAGTCATCATCCATTATGTATAAGACACGTGTAAAGAAAACAAATTGAGGCTTTGAGCCAGACCCAAGCCCAGCCAAATCCGAATTTATTTATATCCATATGCAAGTGGATTCAGATCCTAACAGGAATTCGTAAGGCTGGAATTATTATTCATTCCATTTTATGGGCCGGGCCCTAAAAAGCTCATAATTGGTAAATAACTGAATCCATACCGAGTGTACGTAGCTACCTCAAACTCAAATTTGATGGGATCGATCATATTCGACTCACCTTTCTGCACTTCGAGTCATATGTGACGAATGTCCCGTTTTCTGTCCTGAGAATGAGACATCTGTTATTGACAAGTGGAAGTTTAGGATAAAAGTCCAAAAAATCCAACGGCAGATAAGAGGACAAAAAAAGGTAAATAACGGATCAAACCGTTACATCTGCGTAGCTTTTCCCCGATGATAAAACTCGGACCACTCAAGTGATGATGCACAAATGTCTCCGAGTGACGCGTGTACCTCACACGAAAAATTTTCCATTCCTAATCTCCCCTTTCCATAGCCCCCCCTGACCAGTTGACGTTCTCCAGTTCTCCTCCTCCGGTCCTCCACCCTTTCTAAATTCCATAATGACATCATCATTCATTTACCTACCATATCATCAATTCAATACTAATGGGTCTGGTCCGACCCGACGGACCCGATGATCCAAAGCGATTGGACCGGTTCTAGTTTCATGATCTGCTATTGATGGATCGGTTCTGATTTTTTATCTACTGTTTCCATTATTATTGGTTTGAAACTGGCTTTACATACTTCCAAATTGATTCCTTAATATTTCTTGTTGGATCGATTCGGGTTCTAGACCCGGTCCATTGATAGTATCACCTCAGTGTATTCGTATATATGGTGTACAATACAATACGTATGGCATCGGCTTTCAAAAAAATAATAATAAAAAACAAAATAACAAGATTGGGGAAGGAAGGGAGCATAATAATTGCATGCAACCTACTTCTGTCATTAGGCCCAGTCCACCTCTCAACTGTCATCCAACTCTACCCCTCCTTAAATGCTTTTTTCCTCCCCACTACCACTTGAATTAAATAAATACCCCTCCTTCCCTTCCCCTTTCCTCTTCACTTTTACACTCTTTCTCTCTCTCTCTCTCTCTCTCGTCTCTTCATCACATCACAATACCAGACATGAAAACCATACCCGCTTTTCTCCTAGCGGTTTTTCTGGCCACCGCCACCCTCTCCGCCGCTGTTCGCCCTGAATCCGGTGGGACTCTCCATGCTGAGCTAACGAACGCCAGAGGAAAGGGCAACGCCAACAATCACAAGGGTGGTGGAGGCAACAACAATGGGATGGGCGGTTTCTTTGGGCCTGGTGGTGGTTTCGGGATACCTGGATTCGGCAACGGCAATGGTTGGGGTAACGGTATCATAGGTGGGGGTTACGGTGCAGGTTTCGGAGGTCCAGGTGGAGGCTATTCCAAAGGCGGGATCATAAGGCCGACGGTGGTGTGCAATGATCGTGGCCCGTGTTACAAGAAAAAGCTCACCTGTCCCGCTAAATGCTTCACTTCCTACAGCCATTCTGGAAAGAACTACGGTTCTGGTGGTGGTGGTGGCGGTTGCACCATCGACTGCAAGAAGAAATGTGTTGCTTACTGTTAGATGTTTAACGACGGTGGCGGTTTTCCGGTTGCCGGTAAACCGGGTAAGCTGTTGTTCTCTGTTTTTCCTTTCTTGTTTCTAGCATGGTAGAAGGGTGTTTTAAAGGATGGATGGCATATGGACACTTTTTTAATATATATATATATATATATTCTATATTATTGTGGCTATAGTTGTTCAGTTGTTGAGTGAGTACTGAGTATGCTTCTGGATGTATTCTTAGATGATATTCTCTCATCTCAAGAGGGATGTATGCGAGATTATATAGGATTTGGCTAACTTCTATCTGTAGCTCTATTGTGTTCTGTTCTTTCTTTTTCTCTGGTTTGATCGGTAATATGATGGGACAGATAAACAAGCAAATGAGGTTAAACAAGTAACAAGTGTTGGGTGCCTTCTGCTTAATTAGCGGAAAAAAAAAACAACGACAAAGGAAAAGAGGGTTCTTGGTGTATGCCTGCTATTAGTTGATGGAAATTAAATGGAGCCATCACCCTGCCTCTCTTCGTCCACAAATTGCTTAGACCAATTCGTCAAACTTTTTTTTGACTTTCAAATACTTATTGATTAAAAAAAGTTTGCTGTAGTGGATGTGCTTTTCCGCCAAAATTGACGACACTGTCGACACATTACCTTTTGTTTTTGGGTATCCCAACAAATCCATGAAAGATAAATAATTCAGTTCTCCTTTATAGCATGAGGCCCAAGCTGGTGATGGCTGATATGAGCAAGTTAGCTCATTACTTCTTCAAATATCAGTCGTCTAATGTCTCTTTCGCAATATTGAAGTAGTAGTCTTTGATCAGTCCAGATGTTGGTGCATCCTGGTTCTTTTGCTAAAATGTATGCTTCTGGCACGTTCATGCTGCTCTCTCCAATCTTACCTACCTGTTACCTGCTCGATCTTCCACTTGATGATTTCCAACGATACATTTACTTTCGAAACTTGCACCAGGATACTCTCATAGAACTGTGTGATTTTAATTTGTAAGTTTTAGGGTTTGAAGCCTTGGAAGTCAGCAACTCATTTACGGATCGTTTGCTTGGAAAATTTTAATTTGCACTGATTAATAGCTACTCTCGCTATCACTTCAGACGAGTCTCCCCTCATCATATCGATTTTGTGTGTGTGTGTGTAGTTTTCTAGATGAACAGTTATGTTGACGGAACAAGCCAGAAGTTGGCAACCCGCTATTCTACTTGGACCTGAAGATTGAAATTCAGTTTCCCTCTGGTTTTTGCACTTCCGTCTGGCCTTTCAGCTTTGTTAGTTATGCTAGTCAATGAGGAATGGAATCTGCTGCTCCTTTTCCTTCCTGCAATTAAACAATCTCACATATGTTCATGATTTCTAATTCAAGTAATAAGACAAGTGTTCCTTTAATATCAATTGATGAGATATTTAAAGTAGAAAATATCTCCTATCATGTGATAAAATCCATTCAATGAATGCAGTTTATCAACCCTTGAATGATGAATCACTTTTAAGGACATTGAGTCATTGGTTTCTTGGTGTACTTTCTCCTCTTCCTGCCCATGTGATCCTCAACTCAACCCATGGTTTAATAAATCCCAGTGGAGTTGTAGAACTAGGGTTAGGACTGGTAGGAAATAATAGAAAGAGATGCTAAAGTAAATGGCACTTCTATGGAAATTTTGTCATCAAGAGTTTAAAACTAATTGATGCCTTGTCCAAACAGTAAACTCCCATCATCATAATCTCAGTTTGGTGCTAACAGGGGTAAGAAGCACCTTGTAGTGGTAGCAGTCTGGACTCTGGTATATTTCTCAAGATAGCATTCATTGATACACGCAGGTTCCTTCCAAAGAATTTTGATTTGTTAAGCAGAATCCCGCTGAACAGAAAATAGACTCCATTTGTTTCAAACTTTCAACTAAAATGAGCAAATTTTGTTTCTTTTTTTTTATACTGAAAACTTTGTTTCTGTAGTGATCATTTACATCAAAATCAAAACAAATCAAAAGGGAGTGGAAACAAAATTTTCACCTTACAAGGAGGAGAAACAATAGGTGAGAATTTCTATATCTATTCGCAGAGGATCAGTCTGTGTGTGTGTGTGTGTTTTGAGAATTAGGCTGCAGCCTAAGGAAAATGGAACGTAGAAAACAGGAGCAAAGTAGCAGTGCATCCCAAGAGCTACTGAACAAAAACAGCATGCTTCCTTGCAATTAGCTGAGGAAGAGAATTCCCTACCAATAAACGGTGGTGTGGTAGCCATATTGGATTTTCTTGGCGTTGTCTAAATGGTGTTGTAGGGACCAGCTAGTCTGCTGGTTTGATGGGCGCAGCTAGCTTGCTAGGCGAACGACAAACATGAAGTAACTCTTTGTTTATTATTTTGACATAATGAGTTATAGTGTTCGACTGTTGAGCGTTTAGGGTTTTAATGGGCGGTGGCAGACTTCGTTATCTTATCCACCATCACCGACCACCGTGGAGCTCACATGTGCTGCGATCATTAGAGGCGGTCGCAAATATCTTTGGTTTTAAATTCAAAATACGTTAGTGATAAGTGATCTTCTTCTTCTCTCTTCCCTGTGGCCGGAATTGGATCATTAGAGGCGACCTTGTTTTATAGGGAGGATGGTCGCAACGATTCGCCGGTAAAGCTTGGAAGTCTTTTCCGGCTTCTTCTCTTTTAAATTTCAATACCGCGTTCCTTCACGATGCAGCTGGTTTAGTCTACTCTGGGACCCGACTCTATCGGGTTATGATCGGGTCAACTCTAAATAGAGTTCTAGGGTTTAGGTTGACCCGCACCAAATCTGTAGCTTTGGCTGAGTATGAGAGTATCATTTGGGATGGATTTTGAATGGGTTCTAGTTCAAATTAAAGATTTAAGTGATTTCAGATTGGGAACGTATGCCAAACCCGACCCATTTAAATAATGTGAAATTGTCCCAAAAGAAGAAAAAAGGGTGAAGTGAAGGATTTCACTAAAAAAAAAAAGTAAATTGCAGAAATCTCCACTGAAGTTTCTGACTGTTGCTAAAACCTTTTATGAAGTTTGATAATTTCAATCATTTACTCTGAACTTTTTAACTCGGTTGTAAGAAAATCTTTTTATTAGAATTCTCTAATAAGAGACATGAAAATGTCTAAAATATCCATTCTGCTATTTTTGATCAAAATGTTTATCTTTCTAAATTTTATCTTCATATCATTTGTTACCTCCAACTTTTTTTATCTCTTTTCTAAAATTGATTTATTTTCTAAATTTATCTTTCACATAAATTGCTCAAAGGTAAAGTTGTAATTTTAAAATATCATTTTTTTTATTATTCAAAAAATTTGTATTGTTTTTTTCTGTGGAAACCAATCTTAATATAACTGCATGGCTACTATGGACATTTTTATTCCTCTCGTCTTATAACAAAGGGGGTTTAGTTGTAATTGTGTCGGAAAGTTCATAAAAGGTGAGTGTCATTACCAAACTTCAGAGGAGGTTGTAGCAATTTACTGTTGAAAGAACACTGGTACATGGAACCTGGAAATCTATCAAGCAAATGTCAAACTATGAAGAGAAAGGGGAGGAGACTTAGATAGAGAGTGGCTATTAGGATTTAGGACAAAAGCTATGAAACAAATAGTTGTGGACAGAAGAATTTTGTGGGAAATCTACAGACTACAACTCAATCCAAAACAGATGACTTCTCTACATGATACCAACATCAAGCGGATGATAATCCTACGTGTGTTTTGCATGTTTATCTGATTTAAGGATCCGTTTGCATGGGAATTAGAATCAGCAAGAATGGGTTTCATTCCTAAAGGAGGGGGTAAGGAATAGCTAGTCCTTCAAATGGGAGAATGCCATTCCAACAGGAATAGGAATGAGATTCCAATTCCACCCAACAAAACAGTTGAAATCAGAATGACCCATTTCAATTCTGATTCTAGACCCATATTCTAGTGAACCAAACAGGACCTAATTGTTGTTGCCAAAGTCTATGCAGTTAGTGGACTCACCACTCACTACACTAAAGCAGGGCTCCACTAGTTGACCAACAACCTTTACCACTACCAGATTTTATTTATAAGAACCGATGATTGATTTAATGAAAGATAGATAGCTATTTCGTGGAGGATTTGGAGTGGTAATGAAGCATGGTTTCCCTCGTAGGATCCTAGAAAGGGGAATTAAGACGTATCATATCATATCAAATTATCAATCTCAATGATTCAATAAGGTGGCCTTATAAAAGGATGAACAACATTTTAACAGGTGACGATCAATACTAGTTGGCCATGGAGTATCAGAAACTTTTGCCTTTTCTCTTCCTACTAACACAATCTTATTGACAATAGTTGATTTCTCGCTTTATCACTGTGTGTCAGTATATTCCCAGCAAAATGTTAGTGGATACATAGACATATCTAAGATCTGGAAATGGAAGTCTGAATTATCTTTTCTGGTCTTGTCAAGTGGCTAGGGCTTTTGCTCCCATTTGGGCATGTGAATTCCCAATCTTCATGATGGGTATTCAATTCCTGAGCTTCGTTTGTCTCTTCAGAATCTCTCCGGTATTTCTGGGTAGGCTAGAAATATGATTATTTTTCAGAATAAGGGATTAGGTCTGATGGTTGGGGTATATCCACCTCTAGCTACCGGATTTTTAAAAGTTATAATTGTGATGGTGGTCTGAGTCTTGGTCATAGGGGTTTCTATGGATGTTTGGTAAGGTCTGACTCTGGTTTGTTTATTGTAAGTTTGTAACCGTATGAGGTCCCCTCTTGTTAACGCATGCTGTGGAGGCTAGAACCCTGAGCTGTTTTGAAGGCTGTTGTTGGTTAAAAAAAAAAGGAAAAAAGAAAACTGCAGATTCATGTAGACTTGAAGTTTGTTGGTTTTAGACACTAAAAAACCATTTGTGCTGCCTGACCTAAAATCCAAAGACCATAACTTTGATATGTGGATGTGCACCTAATATTGTGACTCTTTCTACGGTGGCCGTTCTGTAACACTTTGTTAGATTTTTGAGCATTAATTTCCAACTGTTTGGTTTTGATAATACAGCCAAAATGTTATCGAAGTCCACAAGTATCTATATTGGAAACAGAAATCAATTTTAAAAAGTCAAATCAGAATATACTTTGAAAATACATGCATACAATCAATACCATCAATGAGGTATAAATACAAATATCAAATCCAGGATGATACTAAATCTAAAGTTCAAAATACGATCAATGAGGTATAAATACATAAAAAAATATATTTTAATAATTTTTTATGTATATAGAGGTGTCAATTAATGGTATTTAAAAATTCAATTTTGAATTTAAGATTCGACATAATCGAATTGAATTTAGATAATTCAAATATCATAATTGATTGAATTCAGACATGACTTGATTCAATCCAATAAATATCAAAGTTCAACTAATTATTTAATTTTTATATATAATATATAAATTATTTAATTTTTATATATAATATATAAATTATTTAATTTTTATATATAATATATAAAATATTTAAATATTATATATAATTTATATATAATACTTAAACCTAGACCTGGCAAAAAGTTGACCCAACCTTAAAAAACAGGGTTAGGGTCTCATATTTAGTTACTTGAATGTGAGAATGACCTAACCTGACTCAACCCGAATAAAACAAGGTTAGGTTGGGTTGGGTCATGGGTCAATCCGCTGACCTGATTGTCAGGTCTGACTGGGACTATTTATGCATTATTAAAAGTTTCCACTCTTTACCTTTTACTATTTAGTCTTTACTCTTTACTGTTTACTCTTTGAATTGTTAAATGTTCAAGTTTTTTTATTTTATTTTTGGAATTTTAAAATTAATTTCTTTAATTTTGGCATTTTCATGTATTTTTTTCTTTTTTTTTTAAATTTCAGTTATTTTTTGGGATGACCAAATTGAGCCATGGGTCAACCCTAACTCAAACATTTAAGGTTAGGATCTAGCATTTGACAATACAACCTGAAATTCAAACTGACCCAAAATCAACACGAATTGTCTTGATCCAACTCAATTGCCAGGTCTACTTAAACCTACAACGCTAGATTTTATAAACTTGTAATATGGGTCATGTCAGGCTGGCACAGCACAAATTGAAGGCAGCCTAGATGCCATCCATGTCGTGCTAGGCCTCGGGTCTTGGCAGGTCATGCTTAGGCAGCCTAGTCCCCCTCCCAAGTCAAGTCCTGCACTACCCATGGCCTGGTTCCCAACCATGTCGGACCTAAGAAACCGGGCCACGGCCAGTTGGACCTTTGTTTTTATTTTTCAATTTTCTTAAACTAAGAAAATTAGAAAAAAAAAAACAAAAAACATATAATAACAAAAAATTAACATGAATAATAGATAATAAGTTGGAAATTGTGAAAATTTTATTTCACTTCAAATTTAATGTGTACAAAAAATAAAAATACATTGGAAAAATAATGCAATGGATTTAAATTAATAAAATAATAAAATTGAAGATAAAAATGACAATTTGATTGGATTATTGGAAAATATTATAAATAATTCTCAAACAAAATATTACAAAGTATTAAAAATGTTGAACTCAACATTTTTTTAAGTTCCACTTCCATAGGGGTTAGTATATCACGTGCCATGGTTGAAAGAATTGGATAATTTTCTCTCCACTAAGCTAAAATATCAACTTTGTCTACTTCCTCTGAGTTGAGGTAGTTAGACATACTTGATTGTTGTAAATAAAATTGAAGTTCATTAAATGATGAACTTGATGAAGAGTCAGCAGTTGATTGTTGCCTTCCACTACATATTATTGATCAAATTTTATTTCCACCACCACTTTCACATGGTGTGGTTGTTAAACTTCTTTTATTTCCTATTGAACATTGAGATGCATACATTTCATACATTTAAAATAATAAATTATTAACTTCATCTTTTTTTGTTCCAATTTAAGTTATCATATTTGTATGATAAAGATCAAGTGAAGCTTCTAAAGAATATAAAGGAGAAATATTTTCTCAATGTTTTTTAAATTTTATTTCCATAATTTCAATAATTGACTAAAACTATAGAATATTTCCATATTTTGAAAAACACCACTAATTGTAAACACTTGATTAACTAGTACACATGAAGTAGGATAATAAACTCTTGAAAATAAATTAGTTGCAACATAAAAAAGTTTGTAAAATATCTTTTATACAAATTGCAATTTCTCAATCTTCATCAGTTATGTAAAAAATATTGTTAAAACATCCCTATAGGAATATAGGATATACAACTTTCTAGCATAAAATATGCTGAATTTCACCTATGTTGTACATCTAATACAAATCTTTTATATTTTATTCCATATTGGTGACATAAAATTTAAAATTCTTATCTTCTAACCCTGAAGTTCGAATACACATAATACAATTTCTAACTTTATTAATATAGGGTGAAATAAGTTCTAATGCATCCTATATACATAAATTTAATATGTGACATGCACCCACCTAATATGAAATATTTTTCCATTAAATTTTGGTTTTAATTGTCTTTTTAACATATTTATTGCAGAACCATTATTGCTAGCATTATCAAAAGTAATAGAAAAATATTTTCAATTTTATATTCATATAAAATAGTTAAAATACTACCAAAAGTTGCAGTGTTAGTATGTGGTCATTCTAGTCTAGTAAAACTAAAAATTCTTTTTTGCAAATTCCATTCTTGATCAATAAAATGTGTAATGATATATCAAATGTAAGAGAAATTTTAGAATCTAAATTAGAAAGTGTTGAAATTAAATCTTGTTTATATACCTGAAAATTTTTTAAAGCATCATTTCTAGTTGTATCCCTAGAAACTTTCCTAAATTGAGGATTATTGGCATGTTGCAAAACATTTTCTAACCTAGAGTCTTCAGAAAAAATAAAGGGTTACTCAGCATGTAAAATGTATTTGGCTAATTCTTGCCTCATTTTCTCTTGGGAATATTTGAAATCGCCAAACGTCCCACTAGAAATCTGCATTTGATTTGAGTCGCCATCTCCCTATTAAAAGTGAGATACCATGTGTATGGATAAATGGCTAGTACCACCACTACTGTGGCAACTCAAATCGTATATGCATTTATTGCAGATTGCTCTTCTCTTTCCATGGGTTTCCTCAATCTCAAACATGGCCCAGACATCACTAGTCCTTCGCTTCCCTATGTGAGGCTTAACAATATGGGTAGTAGCACAAATTGGCGAAGCCATATTTGGAGCAACATTAGTGTTTCTGACACCAATATTTTTGGTGTTGTCATATTGAGATTAAGTTTCATCAAGAAAAGGAAAAGGATTTTAGGAAGAGTTGACCATTGTAATGTAAATTACAATTTATTTAATCTACTACTTACTCGGTCAAACCATCGATATCCTTGATTCAACCACTTAAGCCTTAGAGAAGCCTCCCAGGTTTCCAAATTGAAGCATTTGATTTGCAGACTTAAGGCACTTGAAGGCTGAAGTAAGCTCCTCCATGTTGAAACTATCTTGGAAATTGGAACAAAAAATAAAATTGAGAAAATTAAAAGAATTTTCTCCAAGACAAGATAGTATGGCTTTCTAAAGCGAAAGGGGATTTCTCTACAAAAACAGCTTGGTCCTTCTATAGGACTGCTCATCCTACGATGGAATGGTACAAAGTAGTTTGGAATGCTTTAATGCCCACCAAGATAAGCTTCTTTGTCTAGAAACTTATGGTGGAGAAGGTAGGGGTGGAATCTGATATAAAGGAGTTAGAGGTCCCTTTTGTATCCAGATGTGTCTGTTATCGTGATCACTCAACCATTTGTTAGTGCATAGATGCTTAGCTCAGAAAGTTTGGCTTTTCTTTAGCAAATTGTTTAGGCTCCCTTTTAGGGGTAATGAGAGTATTAAGGAGCTTCTCTCTATTTGATTTTCAGCAGCTTCAAAAAAGAACTAATGGACTGTTACAGTAGGGCTGATTGCTTGTTTTGCAGTCTGGGAAGTCTAGAAAGAAATAATCCTCTCCTCTAAATCTCACCCATAAGGTCAGTTTTACTCAACAACTTTCTTTATAGGGTTTTGGTTGCGGGTTCACCCAATTAAGAGCAGGTACATCAAGGTGGTGCATTTATTGGCGGTTCAGGAGGGATACTTTAAATTGAATGTTGATGGTGCTTCTAAAGGAAACCCTGGCCCATGCGATGGAGGAGGTATCATTAGAGATGGAAGAAATGGCTTTATTAAGGCTTTCTCTAACACTTATGGTTCAGACTCCAATTTTGTTGCAAAGGCTATGGCTTTGCTGGATGGCATACACCTGGCGGTTGCACTTAACTTAGATAAGATTATGGTGGAATCAAACTCCAAACTTTTGATTGATATTCTCAATGGTACTTGTACAACCCCTTGGAAATTTTGGTTTTGGTTGTCTCAGGTGCAGGAGCTTAGAAATATATTGGATTTCTTTTTTGTTCATATTTACAGAGAAGCTAACCAACCGACGGATGCTCTTGCGAAGTTTGGTTGCTTAGTGTCTCAGAAAACTGTTTATGATTGCACAAATGTTCTTCCTTCACACGTACAGAACTTGATTATAGCAGATGGTCTAGGTCTTTCGTTTTTGAGAATTCGTTGATTTTAGGTTGCTTGGACACTTTATGTTTATATGAGCTAGGCTTCCTTTGTATAGAGCGAGGGGTAACACTTCACGTCCCCCCTCCAAGGTTTTCTGCATATCAATAAAGTTTCAGTGGTCACCCCTTCCACCGGGAGTAAATTTTGGGGCTCAAAAATAAAGAAAATTAAAAGAATTAAGAATATGAGAGTATGTAGATTGTAGAAAGCAATAGAATATTAGAGTATGAGAGTTGTGGTGAGAATGAGGGGGAGTAGGGGTATTTATAGGAATTGAGGGGATTAATTTAACCAAAATACCCTCCAAAACTAGTTTTTATGGCTGTTAGGAGGGGTATTTTAGTTACTTTGGGGGTTATATGTTAGTTGACTTCAATACCTCCTAAATTAGTTGTTGTATAACTGTTAGGGGGCATTTAAGTCATTCCTCCCCATGATCTAAAATATAGAAACACCCCTTTTTTTTGGTAATAAAATTTCATTAAGAGAAAAAAATAGGCACAAGCCTACAATAGCTGAAAATAGAAAAATCCAAAAACAAGATAGAACAAAAAAAAAATAGAAGAAAGAAAAAAAAAACAAACAAACAAACAAACTAGGGAACAAAGAAAGAAGATTTAAAATCTGAATACAGATTTAATGCCAAACAGAGGGGAATTGCTGATCCAAATCTAAATGATTGACTGAAACCACATCTTGTTGTAGCATGAGCAGTTGTATTAGCTTCTCTTAAGGATTTCACAAAAATGAAACTTCTTCCTGCTGAAAGAGCTTTAATATCCTCAATAAAGAAAAACAAAACATTTGGAATAGTAGAGCTGCAACCAGATAAACTATCTATCAGAACATCACAATCAGATTAAAAAAACACTCTGTAAATTGTTGTCAATTGCAAATTGGACTACTTTTAGGAGAGCTTTAACTTCAGCCAAAAGAGTCGAGCACGCCGATATTTGCCCAAAATCAGCTCCCTAGCAACAACCATCCACATCTTGAACCACAAAACCAAAGGAAGCTTTATTCTTTTCAAAAAAACCTCCATCCGTGTTGATCTTTAATCAGCATGAGTCTAGAGGGCACCAAAAAGCAGTGGTCGTCTTCCTTTCACTCTTTGAAGAGCTTTCCAATTTCTGTAGCCAAATTTGAGATTTCTCCACTATTGACCTATGAATAGAATTCACAACCGTAAGGGGGGTTTTCATCATTACCTTCAAAATAGAAAAGGTTTTCTATCCTTCCAGATTTCCCAGATAACAGTAGCTAAGTTTGATAGAGCAAAAAGGTTCTTTCCTAAAGATTGAATAGATTTACAGAACCACTCTCCAAACCCAGAGAAGGCTCTTCCAAATTCAGGACTCACTCCCAAAGTAGAGCCAAGTCACACACACCTAGCTTTATCACACAACAGAAGAGCATGGATAGGAGTTTTCAGTTCCTTTTTACACCTTTCACAAAGGTTTGATGAGGTGATGCCTCTCTTAAACAAATTATCCTTAATAGCAAAACCATTAAGCAAACACTTCTAGATGAAAAGTTTGACTTTAGGTTCAATGAGCATTTTCCAAACCAGACTACAAACCTTCCTATCTAGACTTGGAGGGTTGCGGTAGGTCATCTTGGCTTTTGGAATCCAGAAAATAAGTCGATTTTATTGAAAAAGAACCATTCTTATTCCCCACCCAAGCCACTTATCATCCCATTGCATAAGGGATAGGTCAATATCAAAGATTTTTTGGGCTATAGAGGGGGGAAAGGTCTTAGAAACTTTCCTTCTATCCCAGCATCTGCACTCTTGATCAATGAGGTCAACAACAAGGAGATTCCTATCTCCTTTTCCTCTAGGCACCATCGGCTTGAAGCCTTCAATATCGGGAATCCAAGGGTCCTCCCAAACTCTCACCTTTTCCCCTTTACTAACTCTCCATAATGTTCCTTTTTCAAGGGTATTTCTGCCCTCCAAAATACTCCTCCAGCCCCAAAAAGGTATACTTTTTAAATTTGCTTGAAGGAAATGAGACTCTGGATAGTACTTTGCTTTTAGAGTTCTTGCCCAAAGACTAGATGAATCTTGACATAATCTCTAGGCAAGTTTCGCCAGAAGAGCGAAATTAAAGAGGTGAGGATCTCTAATCCCTAGGCCTCCAGATAATTTATTCTTACAGATTTGTTTCCATTAAATCCACCTTATTTTCTTCTTTCCATCTAAATCCCCCCACCAAAATTGTTTTTTAGATTTGGAGATCAAATTACAAATGCCTTTTGGAAGGAGGAAGCAAGACATACAATAAGTTGGCATAGCAGAGAGAACTGATTTTAAGAGGACTTCCTTGTCTTGTTGATTTAGGAGGGGCCTTCACTAGCTTTTTGCCTTATTCTCAACCCTCTAGGAGAGATAGTTAAATACTTGTCTTTTCCTTCTACCAATTAAGGGGTGAGCACCTAGATATAAGGAAGCTTTTTCCACTTTATTAATATGAAGACAACAAGATACCAATTTTTTTAATCTAGAATGCAATTTTGGGCTAAAGAAAATTTCTGATTTGCAATAGTTCACCTATTGGCCTGAAGCTTTTTCATAGAGGGAGATGGCTTCCAGAAGAGTACCCGCTTCTCTAAGATCAACCTTTGAGAAAATGTAACTATCATCTGCAAAGAATAGGTGAGAAATAGTTGGCGCTTGCCTACAAATTTTAATTCCTGATAACTCATTCCTATCAATTTTCAATTTTATGATAGAAGAAAACACATCAGAACATATCAGGAATAAATAAGGAGAGAGGGGGTCTCTTTGTCTTAACCCCCGATGAGGATATATTCTTTTAGATGGAGAGCCATTCACTAAGATTTGATAAGATACTGAGGTTACACAGGTCATAACCCAGCTTATCCATTTCTCACCAAAACCCAATTTTTCCATAGTTTTCTTTAGAAACTCCCATTCCACTCTATCACAAGCTTTACTCATATCCAATTTCATCGCCATGAGACCACTCTTTGCTTTAGAGGTATTCATATAGTGCATTACCTCATAGGCTACAAGAATATTGTCCATGATTGCTCTTCCTGGAATGAATGCACTTTGATTCTTAGAGATGAATTCATCAAGGACTGGCTTTAATCTGTTAGCCAAAATCTTTGCTATTATCTTGTACCTTGTATTGTACAAACTTATTGGTCTAAAGTGAGAGGCTTCTTCTGGGTTTTTTATCTTGGGGATGAGTGAAATGAAGGTCGAATTTAGATCCTAATCTAACCAGCCTTCCTTGAAAAAATAGTTTATTTCATCAATCACATCTTTTTTAATTACATCCCAGTATTTTTGAAAGAAAAAATTTGGGAAGCCATCTAGACCTGGGGCCTTTCTCGGGGCCATTTGGAAGAGGGCTTCTTTAATTTTTTCTCGGTTACATCTTTCTGAAGATTTTCATTAAGGTCTTCACTAATTATAGTTGAGAGGCCTTCTAGGGCTATGTCAATCTCTGAGGGTAAGGATGGGGAGTAAATATTTTGAAAATGATCAACAAAAGTCTTCTTAATCTAGTCTTGGCCCTCCACCCAAATCCCTTCTTCATTTTTAATTTTAATTACTCGGTTTTTTGCCCTCCTTATTGTGGAGTTATGAAAGAAACTTGTATTTCTATCTCCATACTTGAGTCAATTCACTCTTGCCTTTTGGTACCATAGGATTTCTTCTCTCTTCAGCCAAGTATCTAATTATTTTTCTAGCTCCCCAATTCTCTGATGATTATAACCTGAACCTTGATTTGCATGCTCCTCAGCCAACTCTTGTTTTATTTTTCCTATCAACTCTTGAACTTTCCCAAACTCTTCCCTATTCCATTTTTTCTAAGACTTACATAAAGCTCTGCACTTCTTGACCATTGAGGGATTTTGACTTTCCTTTGGATTCAACCAACCTTCTTTTACTACACCATCACACCTCTCATGGATCAACCACATTTCTTCAAATTTGAAAGGCTTCCTAAATTTGAGATTTATTGGGGCTTAGGTCTAAGCATATTGGGAGATGGTCCGAGCCATATGAGGATAAAACAATTGTTTTAGCATTTGGAAGCCTTTCTTTCCATAAAATATTACCAAGAGCTCTATCCAGCTTTGCCCTAATATTCCCCAAAGGTTCCCTTTTATTTGACCATATATACTTTGGACCACAGTTTTGAATCTCTTCCAGCCCCCAAGTTCTCATAATTCTTCTATTCCTTCTAGTCTCTTCCATTCTAATTGATCTGCCCCCTATTTTATCATCCAAATTGAAGATCAAATTAAAGCCACTCACACAGCACCACGGACCCGAGACTAAGTTGGCAATTTCGTTCATCTTCATGAAGAACTGGCTCCTTTCACTTCTCTCAGGTTCACCATAAATAAAGGTACACCACCAATAATCTCCAGATTCTTTATCTTCGATTTTTGAATGTATCATATTTTTATCCGCAGCTAGAACTTGCAGATTTATATCTTCTTCCCAAAAAAGAGCAAGTCCCCCTACAAGGCCCATAGAGTCCACCCCCCAACAGTTCCAGTTCCACAGATTTTTAAACTTTTTTCTACAATTTAAGAGGTTGCATTTGGTTTCACTAAAAAAGATGATATTGGGTTTGCTAGTGTTTTGGGTCTCTTTTGCTACACGAACTATTAAGGGGGATCCCAACCCTTGGTAGTTCCAGCACAAAACTTTCATAACTCTAGAGGGAATTGTTCAGGGACAATTCCTGCAAACCCTTTTTTATTAAGTTCAGTTGAAAATATACTATAAACTCTTTTGCCTTTTTTTTCTGAACTTTCGATTCCATGTCTAGTTCAAGGTGGAGCTGGGAACTACAGGGCTAGTGCAAAGGGAGTTTTTTAATCTTTTCTTGAAATATCCTGAAATTAGAATGTGGAGAGATTGTCGCTTTGCAATCTTTATTAAGGTCTTAGAAAGGAGGCGATGAATTTTCTTGATTCTCCTTTTAGAAACCTTGTAAGGAGAAAGAAAATTCTTCCCATAGCCAGACCTCAAAATTTTCACCAATTGCAATTTCTGTAACTTTTTATTATCCCTAAATTTCTTATAAAGACATAAACATTGTTCACTATCACCGGTCTCTGAACAACGGTTCCTATTGACCAATTGCCAGTTAGGTCAAGATATTAACACCCAAGGATTTGGAGAGCCCAGGGAACCTAATCCCAAAAGTTCAGCTTCTTGTTTTGTTGATTTTTCTAGCAAATCAGTTGTTTCAAGAACACTACCAACAGTTATGCATTGGATATTTTGAAATAAATTATTTTTTTTAAGAAAAAAATCACTATAGGAAAAACTGCATATAAGTTCTCGATGTACCTGATCTGTCGATGACTCGTGGACCTTTGAGCAATAAGTCAGACCTTCTGGAGAGAAGCCTCCTTGAACGAAACCCAAAACAATCTCTGAATCTTTTTTACCCTGTTGCCCTCTCAGCCGACTCCCTCCCGTTGCTATCTTTTAGCATCGGATTTGGGTTTTGACCCAAAGTATTTGAGGTATCCTAGGTCGCCTCCGAATCTGAAGATGGTTGCTTTCCCGCCACTTGAAAGTCTTCCTCTGTTCCTTTTTCCGAGGATGCCAGAGATTCTTCGTCTGAGGGATTTCCCGAATTTGCATCTAAACCTATTTTTGGGTTTATCGGCCCATCGACCTCACTACTCATTTTCGGCAAGGCTTCAATTTGCAAGTTTTGCTTTTCCTTGATTTGTGTAACACGGAAACAAATTTGCAGAGATTTCCCTGACACCATAGCCAGGATAGGTAAAGGTGGATTGACCTGGGTTGACCTGCCTCCTCACCCATCGTTCTTCTGTGATCACCGTCGTGCCTCACGGAAAAACAAACACCGGAGATAGGATAACATTGATGTTCCCTCTAAAACCTTTTGAAAACCTCTCCACCGCATCGTCTTTTCTTTCTGATGAAATAATCTTCTCTTTACTGGTGTTTTGATTATCTGAAGATTTGGCATGTTCTCGGCATCTGGCTCCTTCACTTTGATGTACTCTTTGATGCTCCCTAATCCCACCTCTGCATTTTTATCCGCTCCAGTATCCTTCTTTTTTGCTTGTTCTGGCCAATCTCAAGATATTTTGCATTGATGAACCTATTATTTGCATCACCAACTTCTGCTCTCATCCATGGTCCATATTCCTCCGGAACTCTCGTGTTCACCATATTTTGCCTAGTAAATTTAGAGGAAAGGCCATCAATTACTTGCTCCAAATTCACCTCTTTACATGATTTCTCCAAATGACCCAGGTGTCTGCATCTGTAGCAAAAAATGGGAAGGTTTTCATATTGGAATAGGAACCCCCCTTCTCATCCATTTTCTAAAGTTCCTTTGGTTCCTAACGCAAGGGGGTTCCTCACATCTATTTTCACCCTTATCCTCAGCCCTTTATTCTATTCTTCAGTTTTCTTTTTTCTTCTTCCTCCGTCAAACTCAGCTTCTACTACCATTCCAGCTTCTTGAGCCAGAATGTTTGTCATTTCCTTGGTTCGATAGGCGATTGGAACGTTTAATATCCTTACCCACATATCAATGGTATTCAAAGCACACCTCATCAACCAAGCACGTATCAGAACTCTGGACTAAAATCAGGGGGTAATCCTTAACTGTCCATGGTTCTTCCCTCAGTATGTTTCGAATATCCTTCTCCCTTGAGAAAGATATCCATAGCACATCATCACTTGCTCTTTCAATAGCCAATGAGCCTTTGATCCACCACCACATGTTTTGGATCTATGCTATTACTCTTGAGACATTCAAGGGTTTGTCTGAAAGGATTTTCACATATAAATCCGTTGATTTGATTTCATTTCTCACTAATTTCTTCATCGAAGCTTTTTTCTTATCTTCCATTGCCGTGATTTTCACTCCCGAAAATGGAGATTCATTGTTCTTTTGAAAAAAGCACTCCCTCACAGAGCACTCGCTAGTTATTCGGGGGTATTTTAATCAAAATATCCCCAACATGCAAATATAACCATGTGAGGGGTCCAGGCCACATGCGTGTCGTGCTATGCTGTCTATGAGTCATGCTTTGGGAGCCCAGTCCCCTCCACAACTTAGGCCTGATATTACAGCTCTACCCATGACCACAAAAGGTGGGATTCAAGACCAAACCTACCCTACAACCAGCAAAAGGCCTTACCAACCAACCAATTGGTCCCTTATAGCCTAACCAAATCAACGGTTATGGGGAAACCATGGTTCTGAGGTAAAATGGAATCAGTCACCCCAGTTTTTCTGGTCCAACTATCTAGTCCGATCCTGTTTTGGAAACCATGGTAAAACCTATCAATGAATGAATATCGTAAGCTATACAAGAAATTGTTTACACCAAGTATCAACTTTGTTGGGTAATTGTTGGCCATCTAATCTCTAGCTTCTTTGTAATGGGTTTTGGCCAATAACCTTGGCCATTGCGTAGGTAAAAAAAAAAAGTAAAAATAGTTGGCATGATTGGCAATTGTCATGATTCACTTGGAGACTTCACTACTACCATCGTCAAAGCGTGTGCCAAGGGTCATGTGACCCATGAACCGAGTTACTCTTAATTAACAAGCATAATCACCATCATAAGTAACCTATTCACGGGCTATATGACTTAATTTTTTTGAGTTATAGCCATCATTTATGCCACCTGTTTAAATCAACTTGTATCAAAGATCTCCCTAAATTGGTTATCCATTCTACCCATCATTTAATTTTTTTGTAAGTATCGTTCTAGCCATCTTAGGGGGCGTTCTTTTTTCAGATTTTGAGAGGGGGGAAAATTGGTCAATGGATTTTGGTTCCCATTGACCAAGAATACCATATTCTTTTTTCAGATTTATGTGGGGATCAAGGAAAGTTTATTTATTGGGTCTCCTAAGTGAGTAAATTAACTTTCCTATCTAGGGGAAAATTGCCAATACATGGATGGGATAAAAATGCCCCTTTTAATATAATGAAATTTTATGACTAAGATTGGCATTGCCTTATCTACATGAAAAATAAAAGAACATCGGCACTTACCCGGGTAAGTCTTTCCTGGAAAATACTTAACTGGGTAAGTGACTTACCAAAAAACAAATGGGGCATTACTATATTCATGCGTATCTAGATACATCAATATGGATGTGATACACCCACTACAATACAGGGCCATGTAATCATTGAATGCATACGGCAGGCTAATCCAGAACCTATATATGGTGTGATGTAATCAAATATTTGACAACCTTTTTCTCAGTAAGTTATCTTTCTCTGTTTTGTAAAATAAAGAATATTTCCAGCATCTTGAATAGAGAATGGTAAGATTTTCACCATTTGACAACTTGACATAATGCCAAGTAAACATCCACCAGTTAGAGGAATTGATCAACCAACAATTCGAACATCTCGGATATTGTAAAACCTCTCCTTTCAAAATAAATAAAAAAAAAATTATCTATATGTATATATTAAAATAAGGAAGTCTAAAATTTTTCTCATCTTTTTGAATTTTTATTTTATTAATTCCATGTCACTTTTTAAATAACCAATCAGATGCACTTTCCCAATAACCTAAATAATCTCTTCTCCTAAACTATTGCCCCCACTTTTTCCTAAATTATCTCTAATTCCTATTTATCTTCTAAATTATCTCTAATTCCTTTTTATCTTCTAAATTATCTCTAATTCCTATTTATCCTCTGCCCCGCTTTTTATCTATATCTATCTAAAGAAAATTTGGATTAAAAAATTTAAGAATCATTTAAATATCCAAACAAAGTTATATAATAACTTTAAAATATTTATTAAAAACACAAAAAAATAATATATTACAAAATATATCACAAAATTATGTACAAACAATTTAAATTCTGTTTTTCAGGATCATCAATTAAAATGTTATTCAAATAATAAAAATTAAATATAAAAAAAAGAAAATCTTATTTAAATATTTCAATAAATAAATTTCTTATAACAAAATGCTTAGTAATATGGAATAGCTTTAAATAAATAAAATTCAAATAAAAATTTAAATATTTTACATATTATTTAAATATGTAAATAACTAAATATTTAACATAACTAAATTTTAAATAGTTAAAATAACAAAAATATGTAATAAATTTAAAAAAATCTTAAAAGTAGAAAAATAATTATAACATAATATCGAGATTAATAATAATTTAATACCTTACAAAATTAATAATGAAATTATTTAATAATAAAAAAAGTATAATTTTATGGATTATTAAACTCAATAAATAATTAATATTTTAAATTTTAAATATTTTACATATTACTTAAGTATTTAAGTAATTAAATATTTTAAATAACAAAATATTTAACATAACTAGATTTTAAATTAGTTAAAATAAAGAAGTTATGTAATAAATTTAAAACAAATATGAAAAGTAGAAAAATGATTATAACATAATATTGAAATTAATAATAATTTAATATTTTAAAAAATTAATAATGAAATAACTTAATAATAATTTAATATTGTTACATAATATTGTAAATAACTAATTTCACTTATATAAATTAATAATTCGAGAAAATAACTTTCATAAAAATTAATATTTATTAATGATAATTTTAAACTCAATATATATTTATTATATAATTATATATATACTAATATTAATATTTATTGTATTTCAATAATTATTTATTCTTTTCCGTGAGAAATGTGTTTTCAATAATTATGTATAAATTTATTTTTGTTTATTTATTTAACAGAAAACTTTCAATAATTATTGGAGATTAAACTACTATTATGGAAATTTTTTAATTTTGTTTATTGTACTTATTGTATTTATTGTATTTTTGTTATAAATTATTGATTAATATTTAATAGAGATTAAATTATTATTTGAGATTATACTATTTATTGACTAATTTAATATATTTTTAGTAGCTACTGTATTTTTGTAATTATTATATTTTTTATTATCAATATATTTTCAATAATTATGTATTTTTCTATAAATTTTCAATAATTATTGAAGATTATAACAAACCAATTTGGTTGTAAGCTATTTGGCCAACCAAATTGACTTGGTCAGGTTGGGGAGTTGGTCAGCTGAAACTAATTGACCATTTGTGAAAATCGACCCACTCAAGTTGTATCAGTTTGGGTCGATTTTTTTGGTTTGGTCAATCGGTTCAAAAGATTTAAACTTAAAAGTTGAATTTAAATTTTAAAAATTACAATGCAATTGTTAAAAATTAAATTTATGATATAAAACATTTTAGACTAAGAAGTATGGGAAATTTCCCACTTTTCAATATTAAAAATTATATTTAAAATATAAAATATTAATATATATCCATGATTAATACAAAACTGATCCAACTTAGTTGCATTGAGAAATTTTTGAACCAAAACCAACCTAAAATACTAGAAAACCGACCAATTGTTGAATATAAACAATAATTGGTTAAGGAGTGTTTGCTTATACATAATTATTGAAAACAAAAATAAATTTATACATAATTTGTTAATCGAAATCTGCCTTCTTTTCAAAGTGTTTGTTTATACATAATTATATAATTATATATAAAAAGTTGAAAATATAAAACAATTGTATACTCTTATGTGTTTCTATTAGGGTCATTTAATAGAACCAACCTTATAGTTTTACATATTTACTTAAACTTACCTTATACTTTTCATTTTACCAAAAAAACTCTTATATTTTGAAGTTATTTACTTAATCAACATTTTATTCCAAAAATACATTTAACACTTTTTTATACAGAAAACAAAATTGAACAAATATAACCAATAGAGTGATTGCCTGTGTCTTATTGAGGGCAAAAAATATTTTTATTTTTATTTTCTTTTGATTAAATTTATTTAAATGAACATTAGGGTCATACTATCATTTTCCACTATCATCTAATGAAAAATTGACTAAATCCATTACAAATTATAAATGATATTTTAGTAAAATACAAACTATAGTGTAAATTTTAATAAACACATGAAACTATAAGGGTGTTTTAGTAAATGACCATTTCTATTATTTAACTTTCGATTAACAAATCCTAAACATCGCATGGGTCCCCGCTAGTACCAACTAAAAAGGAGAATGTGGGGTAGAAATAAATCAACCACTCTAAAGAAGGGAGATTTAGATTGACAGTGAATCAAAGGCAGCAAGCATGTCAAAAAATGATTTGGAAGAAACCGCAATCTGCAATTCCTCCAATACAAAATCAAAGTTCACTCTTTGCAATACGTTCCTATCCACATTGAAATCCTCCAGTAAAATCCTAATCCTAAGAAACAAAAACAAACCAAAACAAGTTATGTAACATGTGGGAAAAGCCCGGGCCAGCACGAGATTTCTCCCTCTGCTCCCCCGTGGTCAAGGGCACAATGAATCCACAATATATGCATGCTTCATTCTAATTATGCTATGTCATATAGCTGCTCTCATGGCTCCTCTTGCAGCCTCACGCCTCATCTCTGCAGCTTTACCACTACCTCGGAAATACATGTATACTTGCTGCAAAAAAAAAAAAAAAAACAAAACAAAAACACAAAAAAAAACAAAAAAAAAAGGAAACACAATGATTAAGTGTGTTGACATAAGTGGAATTGGGGCTAGAGGTAATAAAGAAAATGGACCTGAATGACCCAGACGCTCATCAGTGATTCAATGGTAAATAATGCAAATCCAATGAAGTAGAAGACCTGCAAGTAAAAAAGCATACTGCTTAATAAGGTCAAGGATTCAAACCAGGAAAGATTCTATAATTTTGGCACTTGATGTTAGATGATAAAATCCAAGATTGACAACAAAGATCATAAAACCATGAAAGAACTATTGCAGAATCATCTGAATCACAATTCCAAATTATTTCAAATGACCAAAATTTTTAGCAAAATTATAATGTAAAAGCTCATAAATCCAAGTACTTATTTATTATTTATATATAGTCAAGAACGGCAGCTTAATTACTGTTGGGACTTCCTCTATAATACGTGCATAGTTAAGATAATCCACACCATAGAATACAAAAGCTTACCCCGACCAAAGCATTTCCACTGATAAGATCTATTGCGGGCAGGATACCTCTGTTTCACAGGATTACACAAGAAAATATCATTAGTAGGGTATAAAAGAAGATTCCAACGAGTCAATCTGTCCTTGTTCTTCGTGCCTCAACAGCATCCATTATTACAAGTAAATATTTATGTCTTAACAGCATCTACTATTATAAGACCATTTAGTTGACTTTCTCATTCTTCAGAAAACATGTAACAATTGTTTTTAACACTTGATGCAACATGTATGATTATGTGGAACTGCAACTAATTCATCAGCATGATAACCCCTCTCCCTATCTTTGGCCTTAAGAAATTACTATATTGGAAATTAGAAACCAACACATCTGCTGATAGCACCATAAATTTGTTTTGGCTAAATACTACTTTATATCTTAAAGGTCATCAAAATTCACAAGGGTGAACTTACGTGAGAGATTTCCCTTTGAAAATAATGGGGGGTGCAACAGCAGAAAAGATACAAAAACCAATGTGGACCTGTCATCATAAAATGAAGAATTATGAGTTAGGCATCCCGTGTGCAATTTGAAATGTAGAAAATTGATCCACAATAACAAAATAACTTACCAAGTAAAATAGGAAAAACCATCCAAACTTCAATGCACTATCGGTCCTGGAAAGAAAAAGATGGATTATTAGTGCTTGTGCTGTGATTACCTAAATATACCATTTCATATAATAACTCACCAAAAGGAAATTAAAAGCATAAAGTAAATAAGTTATGGAATATGCAGATGGACCATAAATATGGCCAACAAGGAAAAAAAACTAGGACGTCAATGACATAAAGCACATGAAATGCGATTCTCTGGACTACTCAAAACATGGTTAATATCTAAGGCCTATGCAATCGTCCAATCAGGCAAATTCTTAGCTAAGTAGTGGGTCGCACCAGGCTAAAACCCTTTTAACTTTAGAGCTAGTTATCTTACAGGCCTTACCTGTGCTTACAGGTTTCAGAGTTTTCATTTGGCTTAATGATATACATAAACATAAAGTCTCAGTTAAACATAGAACTAGTACGTACCTCATAGCACGATAAAGAGGACGGTACCAAAGCACATAGCCTCCTGGCACTCCTGTTATAAAATAGATAATAGATAGAAACCAAATTTTTACACCTACAAATATCCAAGATATAAGATCAAAGTCAGACAACATAAACTGATAAATATGATCCATAATAAAAAAATATGAAGTAGGTTTAACTTTCCAAACTAACCTTCTCCTTTAATCCAGGCCGTGGTAACTGCTACAATATTCCACAGAAGACAAGCAAACAACCCTGCACAACATCAAAAGTTCAATTATGTAAGTAGCCCTGTTTAACAGAAAAACCTTTATAAATTCAGGTTTTTTTTGAGCAATTCATATTAAAGCTAATCAGATGCATAACAACAAGAAATTCTTTTCTGTTTTATGGGTAACACAATTTTATTAAGAGAACAAGATACTATAGCTGAGGATCACTACAAATGGGGAGGACCTAGTGAAAGACCAATTAACCTCCCAAAATAAACCTAGCGAAAGACTTGAACCCACATTTTCACACTTGTCAGCCCAATATTTTACAATTACACCAAGCAATGACCTCCTAAGTAGAGATTCCAGAAGAAAACCCCCAAAAAATTCAAGTCAAATTACAAGAATAAAAAGCTCTATATTTTGATTCAAGAATCAAGAATCAAGAACCATATGAGATCCTATTATTAGTTGGAACCTAATATGCATTGTGTTACTTAGAAATCAAAAGAAAAATCAAAGGAACTTCCCAAATTATCACATTTCGAGCCTGTTGTAAAAATCAAACAACACCTTAACAGATGAACTCTTCACTCACATTTTTAGTTCAGTCCAGCCTCTATGCAATAGGACCGTTCAAAAGTTTAAATAATCAGAAGTTTGATATGTCATTTCGTAGTTTATTATCCTATTTAACTGAAAGCAGAACTTCCTTATGGTAAACTAATTAGAAGAAAGAAAAACGTTTGTAAATAGACCCGTTTTATGATCTAGCAGAAAGGATATTAGAGTTTCTACCCTTCAGGGTTTAAGAGGGGCAAACAAGTTTAGATCCAAAGAAAGGCCAGTTCTGCATGCTTTGGTTCTTCAACTATCAAGAGTAGTCAGCAGTGAAAGAGATGCCCTTTGTGCATATAATATCTATAAATAAACCCTTAAATATCTATGTAAAAATCAGTGCTCACTAACCAAGGGAATGTAAAGTCAGCTAATCTTCAATTTTTCTTCTGTGATAAATCCTTCAAAAATAGCTTGAAACATTTAAGAGAAAATATTGATGATACCTAACAATGATGTAAATGCAACATACTGCAACTTTTGTAGATGGAGTGGTATTTCATTTGCAATGTCATGATGAATAAGGGGGAAAAATGGCGGCCAGTTTTTCTCCTCTATAACAATTCCAGCTGTGAAACAAAATAGAGTATCCAAAAACTGTGGGTTAGAAAGAGTACTACCAAGATATCAGCCTCAGCAAATGCTAAATCATATATCAATTTTAAGTGTTACATATAGAATAGAGTGAGAAGTACCTCGTGCTATAGCATCCTCCCTTCTTTTAAGTTCCTGCAAATCATTGAAGAGCTTATTAGAGAAGAACTTTAATTATTTTACTGTGAAAATTTAAACAAAAGCTGAAACTTTTTCATTTGTACTTTTAAACAGCAGTACTTGGTGATACAACAAGATGAAAATTGTATAATCCAACGGAACCTCTCCAATTCATGCTCTCCTAATTACAGCTGACGATACCCCCAAGCGTGATCAACCATGCTACAGTTAAAGGTCCATCCATCTTCATGATATGAATCAACTTTGGTTATTAGTACTCTTCGCTGCTCTCGGAGTGCATTCAAAATTATAGGATGCGTGCATCCTTTTTAATGAAACAGAAAAGTGAAGCAACTCCCAAATGCATCCCCAGAAATGTTTATAACAGATATGAAAATGGTCAAATTGAATTAGCTTTGGAACTAAGAGCCACTTTCTTTAGAGGGAAAAACTGCCTTTCTAGAGTGCCCTCATGAGTCACAAACAAAGTGTAAAATGCAAACATTAATGATCATTAAAAGAACATATAGAGAGAAGCGATAAAAAAAAAAGAACATATAGAGATCGTTAAATTGTTTGACATATAAAGATCATTAGAACCACATATATACTACAGAAACAAGTATCCTTTTTAAAACAATAAATGAATGCAATTCATAACTTCATACAGAGACACCAAAACTAGTTAGAATTTCATTAGAAACAATGAAACTATAAAATATAAGTTTATTCATCAGTTCCATGAAATGTCCATGAATTCCATCAATTTGCAGTAACAGCAACAAATACCTGTTCCCTCTTCCTCAGTTCAGCCTCCTTAGCTTCAAGTTCCTTCTCCCTCCTTTTTAAATCCTAAATTTGCACCAAAAAAAAAAAAAAAACATTTGAGAAAATAAAATATATGCTTACAACAAGACAATACATAGCACACATGATATGATCTCTTCACCTTCCAGAAAGTTGCACTTACCTTTTCTGCATCAAGAGGAATATCAACTGTTGCACCACGGCCATAGCTGAAATCTGCAGGTTCAGGAGGAAGAGGTGAAAGCCTTGAATTTGTTGCAGAAGGAACATTTCCAGGACTCTGGATATCTCAGCAAGATAGTTATGTCAGACATTGACAGTAGAAGCCACAACAACAACAATAATGAGCAGACAAAAATTAGTGAATCATGCAAGAAAGCAAGTACATTGTCATTGAACTAAAAATGGGGTAATGATCATACAGCAAACTTATAGTATTAAAATAGAGGAGCCAACCTCAATCACTCAATGGAGAAACATACTTTGATAAATAAATTATCATAAGTGAACTCATGAGATAAATCAAACATACAAATGGATGTTCACATACATGCTATATGGAGCTAAAATAGAAGGCACTCTTCAGTCAGAGCAGCCATACCCATATTTTTCATAAAACATCAACCCAGATTCTTCTTTTGCAGTTAATTAGATAGGCATGACATGAGTAAATTTTTGAATAAAATGGAAAAGAAGAAAATAGTATAGGGAAAAGATTAGTGTTGGGAGGTTTAAAGTATATAAAAAAGGAAAGGGCATAAAAGGAATTAAGTGATTTTACTAGATAAAAGGGAAAATTCCATAAGGCATAATAGGAGTTAAAATATTTAATTAGACAAAAAGGTAGTTGACCATCAAGTTTCCTGCAATTCATTCTGTTTGTACAAGATATTTTTTTATAGATAAATTAATGCACTTCAAGGCAATTTGAAAGGATCAGTTTACTGTTGTAAAGGGCTCAGATATCACTTTACAGACTTCAATTTCAACTAGGAAACAAACTAGAAACAGCTCCTAACTGCTTTAAAACTAAAATAAATCAGTATGGATACTCAAAATATCAATAGCCCGTCCCCCTACCCATAACCCCACCCCCAACTTCTAACTGCTTGTCATTTTGACAACTCCTGTTGCAAAGGCCTGGTTCGTATTTCTTTTTCTATTATCATGTGATTTGTAATCATTTGAGATTTGATTGTCATTGATGCTCGGATTTATACGAGTTTCCCTAGTGTATCCATGCATATCTTAATTTTTCCACAGTATCATGTGTTTCCAGAAGATATCCCACTACGTCTACTAAAATCATCTTTCCAATGCTTTCGTGATACTGAACCTTGCCAGGCTCACACCTCACACTCCTAAAACTCGTGGTCACTTGTCACAGACAGTTTGCATTGACATTAATACAAAAGACCTCCTATAACAAGTCCATTCCACATTGTTCAGGATTTCAAATCCAACCTAACCTGCAAAATCCATTTCTATCTCTTTTCCACCATTACAAATCAGCCTATCCATCAGCTTCAACCTCATCTACCAGAACTATATCAAGCATGAGAGCACCAAACTTTAAACCATGATATCACAAATTGACAATGCGAAACAATGAGAGGTTAATGAGATCTAAATGTCCTTAGGAAACTTGACTGATCAGTCTAAGAAATTCCAACAGTATAGTCATCCTATTTACTAATTTTTTTCCAAAAAAAAAAAGCAATTAACGATACCCAGATATATTTGCAGGGATGCTTTTACTTTCTATCCAACACCTTGTCTAGCTGTCCTTATATCTAGGTAACAAACTGCATCACATGACCATTTCCTAAGCCATTATTGAATAACATGAATCAACAAAATGAAGGGTAGCCATGAATTCAAAATGTTCTGCAGATTCCAAAAGCGCATTACAACTCCTGCATAGATGGGGGATCATGATTCAAGCAATGGGTTCTATAGCCATGCAGCATTCTATAGTTTCCTGAGAATTATTCTTTCTAGTTGTTACGAGAATAAAATTTACCCAGCTGAGGTCATCACGTGGGCTGTTTTCCAAGTTATACAAACACAAGGAGTTAAAATTAACAGGAAGTAAAAGGAAAAGGTAAGCAAGCAGAAACAACCTTCTTAAGCGATATAAAGACCAACCAATGATAACTAAAACCAATGCATCCATTTAGAGATTTATTGGTTACAGATGAGATGGACTAAATCCCATGAGCACCTCAAAATGCATAAAGAAATCATTATGCAAATCGTAAATGTGAATTTTCATACCATTACTTCATTCAACAGATAAAACCAAACACGGCAACCCGATCTTTGAGAATTCAGGCGAACAAACACAAAATCCACCCTATTTTTCTTCTATGGTCGAAATGTAAACATATATGAAAGAAATCACAGGAAATAGAACAAATGAAACATCCAGAAAGGTAAGGTGCCAACTTATCGAGTCCAATGAATTCGAATTTCACAAACAGAATCAAAACATATAAAAGAACCAAAAAGAAGTGCAGAATAGAAAGAAAAGATAAGGAAAAAAACGATAAGCCAAAGACCGTTGTTACCAACTTACCGCGAACGGATTGACATCTTCCTCCTCGAAAGGATTTGGATCATAACGGCCGGCCATTAGAGGAGATACTTAGAAAACAATCACCGATGTTGGAAAACAAAACTGAAGGTCTGGAGATTCAAAAGAGCGAAAGAAACAATTCTAAGATCAGATTTACAAACTATGGCCTCTTCTGATCCTTTCCCAGGTAACAAAATGAGAAGGAGATGGAGAGAAATATGAGGAAAGATTTGATTTCGGTCGTCACTACGCTTTGGAAATGGAATGGTCCGAATGGATGATTTTCCTTTTGTTCTGTGTGAATTTGTTTTTTGTTTTCTTTTTAGATGTAAGAAAAAAATAAAATAAGAAGAGGAGAACCGGGAAAATCCCAACTGTTCGCGGGAGAAGAAGAAGAAGCCCAAATTCTACAAGCCTCGAGTCTCAAGTCTCATGTGACCCTTCTCCTTTATATGAGAGGCTCAGGCAGCTTATGTGATCAGCTGCATCTGTTATCACAAATTTACAGCAAAATATTCCAATCGGACGATGGTTTTAATGACAAAAGGTCAAATACAACGAAAAGATGCCATTTGATTGGAACGTAAAGGTGAAGATTCCGATAGAATGAATGTTGTGCAGAGTCTGTTTGTTGGTCTTAGGAAAGGAAAATATTTGGTAACGCAGGTGTCGTAGTTTGTATGTAGACCCATTAATATTTGAATAATGAAGTGAATGACGAGAAGTGGGGTTGCTTTTGAACACGAGAACGACTTGACTTAACGAGGTCGAGGTGTGTGATATTGTGTATGTTGACCATTTGTTTGCGTGAGACATGAATTGGGCTTCTAGAATAATCCAGATATACAGAGCTCTATGTCCGCTTTTAACAAATCCAAAACGAAAACGAAAACAGGGCTCACGTTCAATGTAGGGCCCATGACCCAATTCCCAACAATATAGCTGCGAACCCATTTTAGTGATTAGAGATTAGTCTGGTTTGGTTGCCGCTAACTGCTATTATTTGATTCGGACCGTTTAACCTCAAGCGATGTGTTGTCGGGCGACGGTCGAATTAGGATAGGTATCCTAATTCGATCCGATTAGACCAGTTCATGGGGCCGGGTGGCCCAACGGCCCCCGGCCGGGCTTGAACATGTTTATAGGCCTGTGGGCTTAAACTTGGGCCAAAAAGCCTAGCTCGCAATAAATTTGAGCCGGGCTCAGGTTTTGTTAAAATAGTCCGGCCCGAACCCGGCCCGACCTAAAATTAGATTTAAAACGGGTTATGTGATTATGTCCATTTGAATAAATTTTTTTATTTAAGAATGTAAAATTGTGTTTTAAAACGTAAAAGAAAGGGAAAAAAACCATCTTGTAGGCCCATTGTTCATTTAAATAGGAAAAGAATATATTTGAATTTTTAATTCTAATTTGAATAGGGAAAATTGTAATTTTTTTTATTAAGTCGGGCTTCGGGCTCGGGCTCGGGCTTCGGGCTTTTTATCAGGGTCGGGCTCAGGCTCGGGCTCAAGTTATAGGCTCGTTGGTTGAGCTGGGCTCGGGCTCGAGCCTAGCGTATTTCCATTAATGATGAGTAAAAGCCCGGCCCGACCCAGCCCATGAACAGGTCTAGATCCCATATGCAAAACATAGATTCGAATTCCACTCCTTTACAAATCAGGATATTTGATTCGAATCCAATTGGATTGAAAATTTAAGTAAATATATATAAAATTAGCATAGATTTATAAAAAGTAAATGTAAGATAATTGATGTTGTTCAATCTAAGGTAGTGCATGAATTGAGGAAAACAACTAGATAGTCTTTGCTGGCAAGGCAGAGCCGAGCTACAAGGACGAGGTCGCACTTCAAGACTTGTGATCAAGGAAGAAGAAGTTAGAGGCCCGAGGAGTTATCCCCGGGTAAGTACTCTGACGCTCAAGTCAGTAAGAGGTGGTAAGCGGTCAGGCCGAACTATAAGAATGCTGGTCCGAGCTAAGTAGCAGTGTAGGTCTCAGAAGTTGGGATCCCTTACCTCGAGCATGGAATACCTTTTTATAGTCGAAGATCCGTGTTCTGGTCGAATTGGGCTTTTAGGGTAGTTGGAATGAGGTTAGCCGCTGAGGCTTTCGGATAGAGTCTCGTTCCCCAGCGGAGTCGTCTTCCTTATTCCTCCTTATATGTAGTTGTGCTCATCCATGTGACGTGTAGTTGACGTGGCTGAAAGGATAAGATGGGGGGCCACAATAATAGCGTAGCTCGGCTGAGCTATGCCAACGTGGTCGAGCTAGGCCGACGTGGCCAAGCTATGCCAACATGGCCGAGCTAGGGTGACGTGGCCAGGCGATAGCTAGGCAGTCATGTGTTTCATAGGGCCAGCTCAGCCATGACCCAAACACCACCCCCCCAAGTTCTGAAATCGAGGAATGAAGTAGTCCAATTCGTTCTTCGGTTAAGGAACTTCCAAGTTGATGTCTGGATGAGTGTCTAGCCCCTTTAGTGTTCCCCGGCGCCTGTCACAATCTTGAGAACCAAGCAACATGGAATGTGGCCGAGGAATCTTCCCATCGCCGGCAGTAGAACTCTAAGAGCTCTAACTTCGAAGTCTGAACACCACTCCCCCAATTCTAGAGCCGAGGAGGGGGAGTGCTTGGTCCGAAGTGTTGCACGATTGCATAGCTCGACAGAGAGCCGAAGTGTCGAACTGAGTTTCAAGGTCCGTCCTCCTAGTAGAGCAGAGGAAAGGCTCTGATTCCATGTGGAAGTCGAGCTTCTATGCCGTGGTCACTGTGATGCTCGACCATGGTGCGCCGAGCTTTGGAGTTGGGTCCGAATCTCAGAGTTGAGGCAACTGTGATGCTCGACCATGATGTGTCGAGCTTCCGAAGTCGGGGCTTAGCTCGGTCGTATGCCAAGGAAAGGCTTTTTGCTGCCGGTCGGAGGCTAAGCTTCGGAGTTGAGGTCATCGTGATGCTCGGCCATGGTGCGTCGAGCTACAGGGTCGGGGCCTTTAGCGGTGCTGAGCTGCGGAAATGAGGCCATTGCGATGCTTGGCTATGACTTGCCGAGTTTCGAAGCTGGGGGCCTCGCAGGTGCCAAGCTATTGCGATGCTCGGTTGCGGCTTGCCGAGCTTCAAAGTTGGGGGCCTCGCAGGTGCTGAGCTATTGTAATGCTTGGTTGTGGTCTATAAGTTTCGAAGTTGGGGGTATGCTCTTCGGCTAAGGAACTTGTACTTGAAATTTCGAGATCCGAGAACCACTCCCCAGTTCTGAAGTCGAAGAGTGGGATGCTCGACTGGAGCAGAGCGATGCCTCCTTTGTTGTTGGGCGTCCTGAGGAAACCAGGGGAACTAGTTGACCTAGTGGGCCTGGGCAAACCTCAAGCACCTGGGTCAATGGTTGGACCACTACCACGGGGTGGATTGGAGCAATTAATGCCCTAGCCGTCACTTTTCAAGGCCGTCGCTTCGATTTCCGAAGCTTTGCATATGCAGTAACAGTTGAGTCAATTGGTCTTCCTGAGCTTTGTCAGGGCGTCGCTTGATCTTTACCGTAGATCTAACGTCGATTCGCATTCCTGTGGGCTATAAGAAGGGGTGGAGGGGTATTTCCCCCTTTCCATTTGTGAGAGGAGTTGCTGGGATAGCTCGGTTGGGTGTTGTTAGCGTTGCTCAACACTTTGTTTTAATTCCTCGGCTTCAAGCTCGATAAGATGTTTTCCTCATCTTCCCATTCTTCTTCCGCTTCTTGCTCTTTTGGTTCTAGTGGGTCCAATTACAAGTCCGAGGTTGGGGTTTTCGAGGATGCCGAGGTTGAGGAGGTTGAGGTTGGTCCTTCTAGTGTAGAAGCTGAGCTTCCGTTGTAGGTTGGTCGCCGGTTTGGGACCACACCCTGCGCATTGAACCTCAAGGACATGGCTCGGATCCGAGCTATGTATGACATCCCTGAGGACTTCCAAATGAAGTGCCCACAACACGGTGAGATGGCAACCGATGCTCGACCCGACGAACTTTGTGTGTACGAGAACAGTCTGGAAGTTGGGCTAAGGTTTCCTGTGAACGAAGGGGTTGCCGAGGTACTTGCATGGTTCCGAGTACTACCAGTGCAGCTACTGCTGAATTCCTTTAGGTTTTTGGTTGGCCTTCTATCCTATTGCGTCGTCCGTGACATCGAGTTGACCCTGGGTATGGTGAGCTTCCTTCTTCAGCTCAAACCTCACCAGTAGGGCTATTACTATTTCTCGACTAGGAAGAACGTCAAAGTGCTGGTCAGGGCTCCTTCCTCTGTGAAGCACTAGAAAGAGACTTTCTTCTTTGTCCACTGTCCTAGGGGCCTCCCTTTCCCGGCCGTGCTACGAGAGCTGAGAACAAGAGTGCCCCAACCTCAATGGTCCGCGCTTACTTAGGAGGAAAGGTCGGCCCTAAGCATGATCTACGAGATAGACGTAACTGTGTATACATGCTCGGAGATGCTGATGCTCGGTAGGCTGATGTGTCGGGTGGTTGGTCTATCCTTTTCGTTGTTGTATCTGCCTATACTTTCTTTGCTTCTTTGTTCTTGTACTTATTGTCGTGCTTCCATGATGCAGGTGTAGAAATGGCAAGTGAAGAGGAGATCGTACGCCGAATGAAGGAGAATTGCCAGAGGCAGAACCAGGTTGGCATGGTACCGTAGGTCCGTGCTGAGGTAGTTCCTCCTCCGAGGTCTTCCGAGAGGGCGCCTCGCTGGCAGAAGAGATCTCGGCAACGGGGGAATGACAACGAGGACGTAGTGGTTGTGGAACCCGGGGAAGCTTGCTAGACGACTTTCCCTACGCAAGTCGAAGTGGGGAAGAGCAACTCGGACATCCATGTGCCATGCTGGACAATTCATAGTCGAGACAGGCTAGAGACTCCCGAAGTTCCCGAGTAGCTACTCCACAGGATGATGACGACCTACATCACTGAAGAGGCTGGGAGTACTTGGAGCAGCACATTAGAGTGCACACTTATCCGGGCTGCGGCTCAGGTAAGTTCATACTTAAGTGACTTTGTTGTTTTAAGTGTGTTTCCTCGTACTAACAATGCTTCTTGTGTCCACAGAACGCATGCTCAGCCATTGTTGTGGTTGATCGCCTTCGTGAGTTGCGATGGTGGTATGAGAAGGAGCATTCCGAGTACCTACAGCTGAAGGCGCAATTGGCTGAGTTACAAGCGACTAGGGAGCGATCTGCTGCACTAGAGAAGGAGGTGGCCGAGCTGAAGGCTCGGTTGGTCGAGCAAGTAGAGTTGGTATGTGGCTTGAAGAACGAGATCACCGAACTAAAGGCAAAGAGGGAACGACTGGAGCAAGAGGCTATCGAGGAGGTAGTGGTGTGGTACAAGAACTCAGTGGAACTTCGGTAGGACATGGATCAGTATGCTTCGGCTTTCTACAAAGCAGGTTTCAACGTCTTCCGACGAA